AGAGCAGTGCTTCATACACAATCTTAATATACTGTTATTACAGCATCAGAAGCAGGAGTCTTTCTAAGCTCCTGGAAGGCACTGAGCTGGCTCTACGGAAGATTGCAGGGCAGATGCTAAGATCCCCAACAATGGAGTATGGCTGTTTGTTTTTCACACCTGGCTCTATCACTTCCTAGCTGAGTAATTTGGGCTAAGCTAATTTACCTCTATGCCTCAGTGACCCTGGCTGTAAAGTAGGCCAATGGGAAGTACACAGAACTGTGTTGGTGCATAAGTAGATTGCAGTAAGTATTATTTTTATAATGCAGGAATTCCAAAAATGTTAATTAAATGTGAATTCTTTTTTTCATCCAAGTTAAGAAAAAAAAGAAACAGAAAAGCCAACCTATCATTTTACAATGGGAAGAATTATTATAATGACAATTCATAGCATTTATTCAGCCAAGAAAATGTGTTAAAACTTTATCTGTCATCTTCTAGATATTCATTCTCATCACAATACTCTGGAGCAGGAATTTGCCTCCAATTTACAAATCAAGTTAAGTGAAATTTGAAGAGAGGGCTTAATTTGCTCAAGATGAGGTTGCAAGTCAGCGTTGGAGTCAGAGTATGAACTCAGATTTGACATTTTACAAAACTGATTCCCATTTTACAAGTCTATGGCTCTCTACAACGATAATAACCTTAACAGAGTAGCTACAAGATGCCCAGAATCATGCTAATTCACATAAAGTATTAACACTCTCAAAGATTCTGGATATTCTTATTACATTTCACATATGAAAACAGAGGCTTGRGGAGGTTACATAAATCAACCAAGGTTGTGGTAGTAGAAGGTCCTAGAAACTGATTCTGAACTCACAACCTGGGCTCTTGGCACCTGTGTGATACTGCTTTCTGGTCTTCTGTAGAAGAATGAGGAGACACTCAGAGGCCATGAGAAAAGCCAGGACTGGATGGGTTTGTACATCAGGAGAGAAAGCCTAAAYCTTTTTCCAGAGCTAGTTTTTAGATGGGTAAAAGCAAGGAGGTAGGGAACAGCATGAAGGATTCTGGGAACCTCCTCCACCTGTTTCCTCATCTATTAAATAAGAAGTTGGGTCAAATAATCTCTAAATTTCTTTTAATTTTTTTTTTTTTTACTTACAGTTTGTATCATTCTTTCCCTTACAGACTCTCAAGTGGCTTCCCAGGACAATTAGTATAAAATTCTTACTGGATTCATGGTCTGCAACCCTTGCCTGCCTCTGATTTCACTACTTGTCTTCTCTTCCTCATCCCCAAACAAATGTCATAGGCTGTTCTAGAAACTTCCTTGCTTGGGTCCTCTATGCTTGCTGTTTTTTCCTGCCTGAAACGTCCTTTCCTAGATCTTTCCTCAGTGGATGCTTCCTTCCACAGGACTTCCACGACCACTGTAGCGGAAGTAGCACTTCCTCCCTTGTGATTCTCCAACTCATTCCCATTTTATTTTCTCYACATTCATCATTAATGTTGGAAATTCACTTCATCCCTGTTGTTTGTTTATTCATCGATACCATCCCCATCCATCAGGCTCCCTGGTTGATGGCTGTAGCCTCTGAGCTGATGCCCACACAACATAGTGTTCAAAAAGATGTGTTAAATGAAAAAAAAAAATCTGTTAAATGAATGGACTCACATTGTACATTAAAAACAAAAAACCAAAACAAAACAAGCACATAATAGGAGCTCAAAAAACATACAACAGCAAAAATGATAACTAACATTTATTAAATTCTAACTATTGGCATGATGCTAAATCCTTTACACAATTATATTATTTAGTCCTCACTACAACTCTCTGAGATAGGTACCATTATTGTCCTATTTTTAAAGGTGTAAAGCTGAGTTGGGAGTGTAGCTCAGAGGTAGAACAGTTGCCTAGCATTAATAAAGTCCTGGGTTCTACTCCCAGCAGCACAAAAAATAAAGAAATAAACAAGAACTTTTAAAAAATAGTATGGGAAACTGAATCTTAGTAAGAGCAAAGAATTTTCCCAAAGTCATAGAGCTGAGCTAGTAAATTAACCCAGATTTAAGACTAATTTTATTTTAACACACTGTTATTTTTAACTGACTGGCTTTTGTAAAGTAGAACTGCGGTTTCTTCCATTTGGATTAGTAAATGTCATAATTTTAAAGAGCTTTAAGTGAGTAGGGTTCTACATGTATCCTGTCCTGGGGCTCAGGCTAGATAAAGGAAATTAGGCACCCAGGACAGAGGTAAAATCATGAAACACAGTTCCCACACTCAGAGGCTCAGTGTAATACACAAAATATTCAAGTGTGATAGAATGGATTGCTATATGGCCCAAACACTCCTCATTCCTCCCACAAAGAAAACTTCAGAGGCTGGAAGCAGACCCCTCTTAAATTGTTCCCTTGAACCTTGCCCAGATGTTTACCTTTGCATTCCTTACATCAGGTTCTGTTAAGCACTGTCTAGGAAGAATTGAATAGCTATCACTTACTGAGTGCCATCAGGTGGCAGGTGATTGATTATATTCACTAATTTCATTCTTGTTTTTCTGGGGAATCTTTTTTTTCCTTGGGGCATGTTATATATAATAGTGGCATTTGTTATTAGACATTTATATATGTGCAAAATAAAACATAATTTGCTCAATTTCATTCCACAGTACCTCTCACTAATTTAATTCTTATAATAATCCTAGGGTCGTTGTCATTATTCTTAACAAATGGGCAGTCAATAGCTTATTGAGGTGGATGATTAGTATCTCGTGTCTAATTATAAAGTGGTGTCACAAAAACTAGGCTAGAGGGATCTCTAAAATGATCTATGGGAACCTCAAGAAGTGAGTGGCTCTTAGCCTTTATATATATATAAAGGCTAAATATTTAACTAAAACCCCAGATGTGTTATAGTTGTTTCTATAACACATCTGGGGTTTTAGTTAAATATTTAATAAATCACATATACCTCACTGTAAAATATGTTAACAATATCTTTACATTTTTGTGGGAAAAGCAAATACTTTTCATTTTTATTTTGTATTTTCACCAACATTAATATGTTAAAGCTTTTTTATTAATGGAAACAGACATCAAATGTTTTTTATTTTTTCCCCATATATATAATTTGTCTCCCCCACCCCCTCCCTGGGTAGAGGTAAAATCTTTCTTCAGATACTATCAGTTTTTTTTTTAAATTTAGGATTATTTTTAAATGAACCAATCCTTCTCTCTAGTAGAAACGCAGTTACTATTTTTCATTTTAAAAAATCAAATAGTGTCTGGCAATCAGTGAATCATGCATGACAGTTGGTTAAGAAGGCGCTTAGTAAAGTTAGGTTGTGATTGATCTACAGGAAGGCACAAAGCCACCTCCATTATTAGAAAAAAAAACTGATAAGAAAAAAAATGCTGACAACTACWGTAATACCAAAAAATGTGAATAAAAAACGTTTGGATCTCTCTTGAGTTCCCAAAGGTGAGCCACCTCCTGCCCAGCKGTGAGCATGTGACACTCTCTGAAACAGCAGCTCTGTGGGGGAAGGTCTGCTCCCAAGGAGAACTAGCAGAAACCAGGGAACATCCCACAACAAGAGTCTTGGTAAACTGCAGTTTGGTGGTGCCTGAAGTTTGAGGGTTATTTTATAATCAAAATATGCTCCCCTTTCATCCATGTATTAATAAAGCCACAATCTAGCTCCACAGGAAATGAAGACCAGGATTCCTGCTGCTTTAGTAGCCTGGCTACCTTTACAGATCTTTAGAGCCCACTTGATATTCATGGGCTTTGTGCTCAACTCCCAGCATTTATCACTGGCATATTCTTAGGAAGAAGTGAAGAGTCTCACAGCAACTAGGAATCCCTCTCCTTCTGACCTAATAAGTATTTTAAAATTATGCAAGGGATAAAAAATTATTTCACTGGCTCTCAAGAGAGACTATGCAACTACAGGGGTCAAAATAAAAGTTCTTCTCTGTGAACTATATTTTGTAAATGGTCCTAGAAGTCTTAAAAATTCATTGATGCTCTTTAGCCCAAGAATTCCCTGTGACATCAACCAAAAGACCCACTTATGCAGAGGAATACAATTTTATAGTTTTAGGATAGAACAAGGAAATCTACACATGAATCATTTTTCTTTGTGGGTAGAACTGACTGAAATAAATAATAGGTAATGATTTTGTCATCGACACTGTAAAAATTTGCAGTACTACTTTATCCATTTATTTTATATAGATTTTTAAATATTAGTAATGTGATATTAAGGCTGATACAATCACAAATAGTGACATCCTACTTCAGTTCAATTCTTATACTATGCTCTCAAAAGATCACAGAGACCACAGAACAGGCCCCCCAACCCCCCACCCCTCTGTATCTTTGTGGCAAAATCTTTTGTGGCAAATAGAATTCTTTCTCCATTTAAAACGGTCAGACTTTCCCATCGGGCACAGTAATCACAGGGCCTCAGGTCCACAATAGTTTTAGGTGTCCAGGAAAATCTGCTTTCTTAAAATCAGTTTTAGGTCAAAGAAACAAGAAAAGAACTACTAATGCAAACTGCCTTACAGCGCACGAAAATCACAATGGTGCCTGCCCTAGAAAAGTCTCCTTTTTATTAAATTATTCTGAGTGATTTCCTAAGTATGCCAGATAAAAATTCCGCAGAAAGTTCCACCTCTTTGAAAGACATTCTTTTACCTGATTTTCCCTTAAAAAAAAAAGTGGTATTTTGAGGTTTTGGTGATTTTAAATCAATATGTATTCAACCAGGAATTCAYCTCCCCCAAAGTTAATTTCTTAAATAAAAGAAGTAGTAAAGTAGAAGAAAATAAGCACTTTAAGCGAGGCCCTGCTGAGCTACATGGAAATGCAATCCCAGGCCTCCTGCGGGCGCGCTGGCAGGAGACCGCGGCTCCCGTCTCGCTTTATCCCACAGCCGTCCAGCAGAGGGCGCTTGGTTCTCAACACCCAGAGCTGTACGTTCCCCTACGCCTCAAGGACCGTATCCCTATTTGCCCCAAGGTCAAAGCTCCTAACCTAGCCAGCCCCAGGCCCGGGAGACCTGAGAGTGAACCCTCGGTTGGAAACCCCGCGCGAGTCGGGCCGATGGGGCGGGACCGCAAGTCTCCAACGCCTGGGATACGCTCATAATGGGGACAGAAGATGAAGGGCACCCGGGGCCCGGGKCCCCAGCTGTCAGCGCCTCTGCCAGACTCGGTGCTCCGGAGGGGGATGGGGTGCGCATAGACGATCCGCAGCCCCGGTTGGACGGAGGAACCGGGAGCCGCCGCCACCACCACCGTCACCGCGCACCGAGAGCTCGGAGGCTCTCCCAGGAACCCGGGGCCCCGGCCACTGGCCGAGGGGAGCTGGGCGGTAAGACAGAAGCTCCCCAGCCCGGCCGGACGCCCGCCGCGAGGGCGTTTTCCCCGCCCCCGGCGCCTCGCCAGCCCAGCCCGCCCCGAGCACTGGGAGATCACCTCCGCCCGTCACCTCCTCCCCTGTCGCTCAGGTCCATCCAGGGTCCCCTCCCCCGGGCCGCCCCCGAGCACGAAGTTGGCGGGAGCCTATAAAAGCCGGTGGCAGTGCGACCCGCGGACACGCACCGTGCAGGCKCCCGAACAGCCACCGCTAGACAGGCGCCAACTCCTGCCTTGCCCCGACCGCCGGCGCGACCATGTCCCATCACTGGGGATACGGCAAGCACAACGGTGAGTGCGGGCGACTAGCGGCGCCGGGGCCCGATCCTGGATGCCTGCCCAGGCCCCGCAGCGCCCGCACCTGCTGTTTACCGCGGGCGCGGGGAGCGCGGGAGGCTCCGGAGAGCCGGAGGCTCAGGTGCGCCCCGGGCGCCAGCCTCGCCCGCGGCTCCCCTGCGCCCAGGATGCCCCCATCGCCCCAATTCCTTCGCACTGTCGAGGAATCCCGGCGTCCGCMGGCAGCGCGCAGGGCCCGGGAGAGGCAGGCGAGGCCCCCGTCCGTAGGACCCGAGGACAGTCGTTCCTGGGTCCGGAGCTGGGACMCTTTAACCTGATCTAGGAGGCTGCGGGGAAGGGTAGTAACGGAAAATTTTAGTTGATCACAGAGAAATTAAGCCCCTCTTCCATCCTGTCTGCTTCAGCACCACCTGTGGCTAAGATTCCCCGCACCAACTRTCCCGGGGCATTTTCTGGAGTTGCTTTGAATACATTGTTCTGATTCTCGAGTTTCCCCCTTCATTTCTCGACTTCCAATGCTAGGGGTTCAGTGACCAAGATCCGGGCTTTATCATGGCCATAGATCTGGGTTTCCCCGAGCAAGCCAAGGGAAGACAATGATGCGTCTGGTGCGTCTTAGGCGAGCGGGGCGGGGGCGGGGGACTCCCCTTGTGGGGCTCTTGACTATTAAAGAAGGTGCATGAGCAGTGGCTCTGACCTTTCATCCAGTGCGAGGACACGAGGGAGGAACCAGGCGCTGTGTGGATACTTTGAGTGAGCTGGCATATCCCAAATCCCAGCCACAAGCTGATTTCAGTTTCTGAGAAGTAAAATGACTATGAAAATCGCTAATATTTATATGATGCTCTTTGCTCTAAAAGCTTTATGTGTATTGACTCTAATTCTCACAACATCTATAAGATAAGCTTATAATATTTTTATCACATTCTGCAAATGAGGAAACTGAGGCATAGATTGTTTTCTCAAAGGTTTTTCTAATATTAAGTGGTAACACCAAAATGGGAACTGAACTGATTGATTTTGGAACCCTTGCCTCTTTCTGGGGGTCTGGGTTTATATCCGTCCAAGCATTTGGGGTATTCACATGTGTCTTCTCACCTTTCAGGACCTGAACATTGGCATAAGGACTTCCCCATTGCCAAGGGAGAGCGTCAGTCCCCTGTTAACATTGACACCAAAATAGCCAAGCATGACCCTTCCCTGAAACCTCTGTGCCTTTGCTATGAGCAACCSACTTCTCGGAGGATTGTCAACAATGGTCATTCTTTCAACGTGGAGTTTGATGACTCTCAGGACACAGCAGGTTAGTGTTTAAAGTGTGCCCTTTAGCTAGTAGCTGTATTCCCACCTTAGTGGAAGAAGTCCAGCAGTGATAGGAAACTCTTTAATACTACAGTTTGTCTTAGTCCCTAAGATGCCACTCTAATAGGCTTCATTAGGTCCCAGACTCAAAGAAGTAGGCTAATTAATTTGAAGTTTCCTGAGACTGTGTCTCCTTTCTAAAATTCTTGGCTTCTGTGTAGGGCATAGAGTAACTGTGATCTGCCTGTGRTAAGTCACAAAAGGGAATCCCCCCACCCCCATCAGATCAGTAACAATGAAATTTGCAAAAATGTAACTTCTTAAGTTTAATTCTAAAATGTTTGTCTTTGGAATTGATGCCTTTCCCTTAAAAAAATATATGTTCATGTGCATTATTTTCAAAGTAGCAATAAGAAAAGTGATGAAAACTAGACAATTTTAAATATTAARATTCTTGGAGAGCATTGTATTTATGATATTTCTTACTTTGGGCTAGTGTGATAAAGGGGGCAGTTTATCTTGGTCTATATCTAGAAGTTCATTCCAAAAACCAAGATGTTTTATTAGAATTAGTRAACATACCTGACCCATTACCCATAAATCCAATTACCATAGGTTATTTGTAATACAGCTATTTACAGGATGCCACTAAATGCTTCTTGTATTTTATTTAGAAAAAGGAGAACAATCCCATTTAGTCATAGTAACTGCTTTTCTTGCTCACTGGTTRATTTAATTGCCAGTACCCTATTTTCCTGAGTGTTTTCCTCTGAAGGTCATTGAATGAAATGGTCTTGCAAACATGTGTTTGGTGGTGACATGGGAGTGGGGTGGGTGAGTTTTGGAGTAATGKTCTACAATACTAATGTATTATATAGTATATAATTAAAACTAAATAAGTCAAGTAGCTGTACAGTATATTCARTTCAGTTTTGAAAAACAACATTCATCTTCCCCTATTTTAAAAAGCTTTGGACACTTGGCTTTCTAAAACAGTAATTCTGGAAGACAATTTAATTAGATATAATGTGGAGATCATTTGAGAAATGTTTTCAACCTATGTACATGTTCCCTATGTATTTCTCTTAGTATACACAGACACAGTTAGACATACAGACAGACAAACAGGAAACATACACAYRCTCTCTCTCACACACACACTTTCTGGCATTATGATTAAAATCAAGTCGAGGATATACATTGATGATGYGTCTCCAGTAATTCTTGCTTTTCCCAAGAATTTCTCCATTCCAAAGAAACACTGCTCAACTGATTAAACATAAAACAATTTCCTTTTTCTTATAAAAACTACCATATATTTATAGTATGGTCARTGGTCTCAAGATTTCTATTATATACATAAAGGATGATATAAAGTTTCATGTTTAGTCATATAAAAACCAAAACAGATGAGCTACTTTAGTCCATAGCTGACAAYTATTTTTTTAAGGCCACAATTATTGGCAACAGATACAATGTCAAACCAACTATTTACCTTATTGGATGCTACATAGAAATTGCATAGTTAATTTTTTTRAACAATGAAGAAACAAATGGAACCAGATGAAGTAGCTCTTTATATATTCCTTACAAAGGAGACTGTGARAATAAATTATTCCAGTAGTGTGCATTACTGGAAAATGGATTTTAGCCCATGGTAGGATGGCTGTGAGTGCCAATTGGGATCCAATAGACCTGGATTTGAATTCAAGCTCTGCCACTAACTATCTCAGTGATTTAGGGAAGGATAATCCCTTCCCTAAGTTTTAGGGTTTTAAAATTAAAAGTGGAATAACAGTAGTATCTGCCACCGAGGAAAGATTAAATAGGACAGTTTGTATGAAGCRCCTAGCCCAGTGCCTGGTACATAGCAGTTCCTCAGCAAACAATTATTAGGCAATTGCTGTAGCTGTTGTACTTGTGATAAAATTCTGAAGAAACCTTAATTTAATACCATTTAGGGTTACTTCCTACACTTGGTAGTTTAAAATTTTATTTTTATATATTCCCAAACATCTGACTTATTATTTTAAATATGCATTGATTCTATTTATGAAGTTATATAGTTGTGAATTTTATCATGTATATATTAACCTTTGAAGGATTTCTACATAAGCAGTAACTGATTAGACCTAATCACATGTTTTTCARCTATTTCTTCTGGGGAATAATGGCCATGTTTAGATAATGAAACATAATACAAACTAATGGATTAGGTAGGGGTTTTAACACATGTTTTAAGAGACACATGTATTATCCAGCCAGTTCTTGTACAAAAAAAAAATTTGATTAGTAACATAGATTGAACACTTGATAAACTAAGTGTCATGAAGGCAGGATGGGTACTTGGGTCCCTTCCTCATCCCCAGAGCTCAGTGTGGGCTGAGACTGCCTAAAATAGAAGGACCCAGAAACAACAGACACTGAAAATTACTTTGATAAATACAARAAGACAGTATTCCAAGGAACTGTGGAAACATGAGGGAGGCTTAGGAGTCTGAGTAGTCAGGAATTTTTGGAATAAATAGTCWTAGGTAGAGACTTGAAGGATTTTGATGTCTTGGGAGAGATTCCAGGCAAAGGGAGCTAGGAAACACCAGGGAACCTAAGAAGAGTACACAGTATGTACTTTAGAAAGGCAAGAAAGTATACAAAAACAAGGGTCAGCAATGAGTATTAKAAAGACTTAGTTGGGAGTGGTGGCACATGCCTGTAATCCTGTAACTCAGGAGGCAGAGGCAGGAGGATGCAAGTTCAAGGTCAGCCTGAGCAACTTAGGGAGACCCTGTCTCAAAATAAAATAAAAAAGGCTGGGGAGGTAGCTCAGGGGTAGAGCACCCCTGGGGTCCATCCTCAGTGACTCCCCTCCCCCAACACACAAAGACTTGTTCTCTCTTGCCATGAAAGACTCCTTTGTAATTTTGCCCACATCTCTTTCAGTCATTTTGTGTGCAGGAATATACTAAAATTTGATATAAATGGAAAATCCATCTACAGGGTTSATTAAAAAATAACAATACCATGAAGAAAAATAGCCTTTATACTTTATTTATTTCTTAAAGAATTCTAGACTCAAAGCTGGAACAAATGGTAGAGATCCTGTAGTCAACCCACTTAAAATAAACATGAAGAAACAGAAAGCTCGAGTTTAAATAACTTGCTAAGTCTTCTCTTGCCTAGTTTACTGGAAAGACTAAATGGCAATCTCTTAAAAATAGAATTTGAATGATAATCATAGTTAACGTTTAGTTTGTACATACCAGGTTTTGGAAAGCTAATGTACTTTTCTTACACTTACCTTTAAAAATTATTCATTCATTTTGGTCACTTARTTGTTTTAAAAATTAACCATTTAACAGCCCTTTAGTTAGGAGTGATCTTTATGGTGTTAATAATTTTAGACATTCTTTACCTCTTATTTTCTGCATTTAACTGCTTCAGTTCATATACATTTCTCCTCCTTTGATAAGATTTYAGCCTTCTAGAACTTCCCATAAATTTAGGTTTTCTAATATGTCCTAATGTAACAATATAACACCTTAAGTCCTTGGGTGTCAGGAACTGAGCTGGTTGAGTTTATTGTTATGTTTACATTGGAGATAATTCTTTTTAACAAAAAATAGGATGGAAATAAGGGTGGAATTATAGGCTTTAACTGGAAGCTTAGGCTMAAGTTCTCATCAGTTTTCTAAACCCCTTTAAATAWACCACCTTGAATTAATGAAAAATTGCTAATCCTGTTAGGTAATTTTTAAGTTATTAAAAAATAACTCTCCCAGCTTGAGATGTTTTACTGCCAGATTTTTTTTTTCTTCTGGTGGAAAAGAATACTAGTCAAATTATTTACTCCTGCTAACTTATTAACTTATATTAATGAGTTTAGAACTGTCCTGCTTTTTTGCAAAGTTATGGCAAGAATTGAAAGCCAATGCCAGAATTATTGGGCCAGCTTATTTTTAACTCCCACCTGATTTCTGTTTTATGTATTTATTTTTGAAATTGGAATTTTWAAATTTGTTTATTTCAAGAAAAAAGAAGGAAGGAAGCTTACCTGTACTCTTTTCAAGCAGAACATTGTCTGTTTGACATAATGGGTCTTTGTACAGGGATCCTGCTTGATTTTCAGGGACTAGCTTTTGAAGTTGTAAAATTTTCCTTYCACAAGCAAGCATAAATTAAAAGGAACCTTAACAACCAGAAATGAAATGAAAGGGCTTTTCATGTGCTCAGTTAATGGGATCAGAACCCTAAATAGCTGGAAAACTGACCAAAGCCTTTTAAGCGTACTAGTTAATTATGTTAATCAGTATCAGTTTTACTCCTATGCAATTGCTGTATGAGTTAAATTAAACTTCCATTTTCTTGAATTTTGACTGCTTAATGTAGTTGAAAGTGACAGCTAAATATCTCACTGAAAAKAATTAAAATATGGGCATTTTTCTGCTAGATTTGTCTGCACTGACATGAAGTCCTAGGATTATTGGCTACTGTCAACAAGCTAAACATGTATGATTTAATCAGTAGTACATATAGTGATGTATGATTTTAAGATGTTAAGATATTCACAGAGATTATTCAGCTCCTAGAAATGCTATGTTTTCTGTGGAATTATTGATTTGCTTTATTAACAAAAAATTGCATATATTTTAGTTTTTAAAYTAAGGATAATTGGGAGTAGTTTACTTAGCTCTTGGATTTAAGAGAGATTATTGACATACACTAAAGGTCTTTAGTTTGCTATTTGAAGATGTCTTAAGAAGTAATAGTGATTAGGGTGAAAAATATCCCAAAATGCTAAATTTTAAATTTCTATTTTTGTGGGAAGTCTGATTTATTTCAGTATTACTGAATCTCCTATTTTTAACAAAAAYAAATAATTTAACAATTTTTCAAGTAATAAACATAGATCATTCTATAATRCCATACTTAGTGCTTATATTGTATTATATATACATATATAATATTTAACTGATGGCTGATCATGAAAATTAAAATTGGAGTCCTTGATGTTGTTATTTGAATTTAAATTAAATTTTTGGAGTTTGAAAAAAAAAAATAGAAAGCCTCACTATATCTCTCTATCCCTCATGGAACATGTTTCTGTGATATAGCAAGTCATACACTTTGTAGAGTTCTACTGGTCTGGCTGGATTATACAGAAAAAAAATGTACACTCGGTAAATTCTGCCCCTTCCTTCCTTCCTTCCTTCCTTCCTTCCTTCCTTCCTTTCTTTCTACCAGGGCTTGAACCCAGGGATGCTTAACCATTGAGCCACATCCCCAGCCCTTTGTAATATTTTTTTAATTTTGAGACAGGGTCTTGATAAGTTGCTTGGGGCCTCAATAAGTTGCTGGGGCTGGTCTTAAACTTGCAATCCTCCTGCCTCAGCTTCCCGAGCCACTGKTATTACAGTTTTGAGGCACCATGCCTGGCAATTTTCACCATTTTAAAAAAATATATTTTTGCATTAGAAAGAGGTATTTTTTAAAAGCTGGGACAGTTTAGAAAATATCATATAGCAATTTATATTACAATCCAGGCCTATTTATTTATTTATTTATTTAATCTCCTATATTTAACCAAAATGTTGTCATTTCTGTTTCTCAAAAAGATATATGCTACCTTTATCAAGAGTTTATGGTAATTTATTATTATAACAATGTTTTTCAGTTATATAATTGATTAACCTCATTGCTCAGAATTTGCTGAGAAATAACCAGGTAAAGAAGATCAAACCCACTGCTTTTTGTAGTAATTAAATTTTAATGATTTAGTAACCCTTCCTAATTACAGTGGGCTTCTAAATGCATAATAAGTTTTCTTTTAACAGGGACTAAACCCAGGTATCTGGTGAAAACCGATAAGCACTGAATGTATTTAATCACTGAATACAGAACACTTTTTTTTTTTCCTGCTTGTTTTTCTGGTGTTCACAAAGCCTTTTTAAGTAAAAGCTTATATCTAGCTCTTGCCTAATTCTAAATGTTCTATGAAACAAGTAAATTAGGTCACAATTTTAGGGCCTACAAGAAAGAGAATAACAGTAAGTTTTATTCTCTTTAAAATTTAAGATCCTGGTATGATTCTCTACAGGAGGAAAGGAAATACATTTAGAAAGATCAGTTATCTCAGATGCTTTAATATAGTTTTATTTAATTTGTTTTGTCACTTGRTAGCACTAATGATGTTACAAATGGCATCTGATTTTTACAATCAGCCAATTTGTTCCTTAAAGAGTTATTATAAAAGAATTTTCCATATAGACATTTTATAAATATGTATTTCATTTTTAAGGGTATGTTATTKACAAAGAAAAGGGATTCTTCTGTTTCAGAGAAAGCTTGATATTGGGGCTAAGGCTATTCTTTCTATATGGAATTATCAGACAAATATAAACTTTTATGATTTGCTTTTGTGTTTCAAGGGATGTAATTTTATCAGAATACATTCAAATTTGTGTTTCTTAATAGATCTGTAACATAACATCATTTATCATTCATTCTTTCTGTTTTCATTCTTCTTATTTTTTCTAACCTATTATAAAGCAAAGCTGGCAACCTGAATATATCAAAAGCCATAGAAAAGCCATGGTGCCTAAACAACTTCCATCCAGTTTCATCTTTTACTTTGAATAGATGAATGGGTGTTGCTACCATCTAAGCATATTTAAGTGAAATGAAGCGAACAAACTTTATTGTACAGACTGGGTCCCTTTGTCTTGAAAATCCAAAGTAAATTTGAGTTCACTATTTTTTGAAATTAAAAGTGAAGGCTAATAAAAAACTTTTAAAGCAACAGCTATTTTAATTTGAGTACTAGGTAAATAAATTGTAGAACTAAGTTACTTGTAAATATATATATATATATATATATATATATATATATATATATAATCCCACTAATACATATAAGATAAACAAAGAATTTTTTATAGCAATTTCCCACTATTATAATCTTCTCTCAAGACACAACTTGTTAATTATCTACAGATATATACAATCTAAAAATGTGGTTTCTGGTACTGATTTTACTGAATAAAATTAAATTAATACCAGGAATGGTATAATCTGGGTATAGTTATTATACACTTTTAAGTTCTTRGAGATAACAAAGCATATAACACTGAACATAAAAGTTGATGTGTACATTATTAGTGAAGAACTAAATGAATATATCCATTTTATAGGTGAGGAAATAAAGTCAAAGAAGTTCATTAAAATTTTAAGGAGACAAAACAGGTTAGCAGGAGTGTAAGGAGAATTAGATTTTATAAAGTTAAGATTGATAGAATGTATATTAATAAATTTACAAATTCTGGTCTTAACTGGGGTCAGAGGTCCGTGAAATACGTCCTAGGGCAGCCATTGGGTAGTGTCAGAAGCAAGGTCCCCTGTTTGCATGTGTGTGCAGAAGAMCAATCCGTTGGCAAGTAGCTGCCTGGACTCTTCATCCTAAGTGATGCACAGAGGAATTATTAGTTACACTTAAAATTTCCTCCTGGACCTGAACCTGTGATTCCAAATCAACCCACAGGAAGAGGTACCACTGTGCTCAGCAAGCAAAGATTATGAAGAGCTTCTATACTTTCCCAACACACATGAAGTAATATTAGCAATGTGTGTTTCATGTGTGGATGTATGAGTATGCATGTACGTGTGTATGCATGTGTCCATGTGTGTATGTATGTGTGCACAGATATATTATACACATGCATTTTAATTTCAGCGCTGAAAGGGGGACCCCTCGATGGCACCTACAGATTGATTCAGTTTCACTTTCACTGGGGCTCATCTGATGGACAAGGTTCTGAACACACTGTGGATAAAACAACGTATGCTGCAGAGGTAAGATATGGCAACAACAAAGGTTGTAAATGGCTAGTTAGCATTAATTTTAAAAGCTCAATTTTGTAAATTCAACTCACACTAAGTGAACCACTTCTTTTGCAAAGGCCATTCATGTTTGCTTCTTATAACCTTTAATTGTAAYATTACAATTAAGGCTAAAAAGCTTTCTCTAGTGTCCCCAAGGACAACATTTACAAAAAATAAATAAATAAATAAATTCAAATGGGAGGAATTTGTTTTAGCATAAATCTAGAAAAAAATTTGTGCCTTCTCTCAAAACATGTCTTCATCTTAGAGCTGTTGATAAAATCACTTGCTATTCTACCAAGTAGCAGATAATTAGATTGAAAATGAAGGAAAAGCTTTTATTGAAAATTATCCACCATTTTTCTTTAGTAACTATTAGTTAAGGAGAAATGATCACTGGATTAAAGTCTGCTAGCTTTTATCATGTTAATCATTCACTATGATTTTTTGTCTTCTCTGACTTTAGCTTCACTTGGTTCACTGGAACACCAAATATAAGGATTTTGGAAAAGCCGTGGAACAACCTGATGGGCTGGCTGTGTTGGGCATWTTTTTGAAGGTTAGTTGGTGGCCCAGTTCTTTTTCCTGTTTTCAAGAAAGATTGACCAGACAGAACATTTCCAACAGGTGTTTTACAAAAGAGCTGAGGAAATGCCKTTCTTTGGCCCTGAAGTGTTTTCAGGCTTACTTCTCCCTCCATTTCTCCATCTTTTTTTCTGGAGGGCAGAAAGACAAAAGTGGGAGGTGTTGTTTAGATAGTATTTACATGGAAATTAGAAGAACAGAAAGAAGTCAACTATAGATGACTAGTAGGTATGTGTTTTGTTTTAAATTAACCTTAGACTAAGATCACTAAAGTATTGTTTGATGAAGGACAACACTCAAGTAAGTCTGAGTTCTGGAGGGCTCAAAGACAGAGAGACTCTGTATTGGAGAATTTCAGGCAACAGTGGGACCTTACAGGTTGAGCTGCCCTCTGGCCAGTTGTAAAGAGGAGAGTCAAACTGTCTGGACTGGCGATTCCCTATCTCTGACATCATATTGACGGGGTGGGGTTTGGGGGGGCTGCAGGTATTTTGAAGTCATCCCAGGATAACACAAAGAAGCAGGAGCTGCCGAACCTGCTGGGACACAACCCTGAGAAACTTTAAAAGGGATGGCCTTGAAGGCAGTGGCAAGGGGTGGATTCAGTGACTACCAAGGAGTCAGAGACTCAAGGTAGGGCATGGGGGAAGCTGAAGGACAAGAGACTGTTTATAAAGAAGGAAAGGTGGTGTTGTAAAAGCCTGCAAGGAGGAGAGGGAAGGAAAGYGCTTGAGGGTAGGCTTTGCTGTAGCAATTGAATGTCACTGGGGACTCCTGAAAAGATTGTTTCAGAGTTAACTATAGGGCAGAAGCAGAGGCAGGTTGGGAAGTAGCAGTAGGGAAGTCCAGGGTGTCAGTGCCTTCTAGCTAAGACACTGACAGATCACTGTGGTATGTATAGAGTGGTAGATTTTGCTTCACTTCTTAGAGAACTTTTATGATAGTGCTGCCCAAGTTAAAAATGCTAGAGCGTCAAATTGGTTAYATTATCTTCCTCCTTGTGTTTTTCTATAGATTGGCAGTGCTAACCCAGGCCTTCAGAAAGTCCTCGATATGCTGGATTCCATTAAAACAAAGGTAAAGTTTAATTTTCTGCTGCTTTTGGGGGTGTCCTTTTTTTCARTACTTTATTGGTTTTAGAAATTTCCTTTGATCAAGTTTTATATTGCCATGTGGTATTTGGGTGAACAGTTAATGAAGGTAAAATATTGCTTACATATTTTCTTTCTGCAAAAAGTTAACCCTAATTCTACTAGAGCTCTAAAACTGCCTTTATTGAATCTTGCTTCTAATCATTTGAATATCCTGATGAAAGAATTGGAGAATCTCATGATTGCAAGGAGGCTGAAAGATCATCTGGCCAAATTATCCACTCATTCATACAGCAAATATTTGTTGAGTACTTCCTATTGTCAGTCCACTTTGCTAATCCAGGAGATACAATGATGAACAAGACAAACAAAGTCATGCTTGTTGGAGATTTATGTTCTGTGTTTAAATCCTCTCTGTAACAGAGCTGTGTTTGAGGTCAGTGAGAATCTGCTTAAACACTAAAGTCACTCCCAGTGATGGGAAGCCCATCACCAGGGGCAGCCCCAGCTGTATAAAGCTTATCCTCAAGTTGAAACAGCATCTATCTTCTGAAATGTGCAACGTCCACTCCTGGCCTGATCCACTTGAATCATATCTTATAGACCCGACTCCTYTTCCACATGACCTTAGGGTTTTCACCTACCCTAGGATAATTATCTCTAGTTCCCTTTAGTTATTCTCATAGGACATAGTTTTATCTCTTTGAACAACCTTGTCACTCTTCCAGGAAAGCTTTCTTGCTTTCATCTATTGATATTCAGTCCAGAGCCAAACACAGTTTTTTAGTTCTGATCTAGCTGTCAAATAGCGTGGCAAGACAGTGGCCTCCTCTTCAAGGATAATATATTTCTGTTACTGAAATCTAAAATTTTTAAAAATTTATTTTTGTGGCACCAGTCACATTTAAAATACCAGATGTGATCAGCTAATGACTTAATGGAAAACATAAATGAATATGTTAGAGGACAAAATGAAAAAWGAACGTGTGAATATAATCAGTTCTTGCTCACACCTGCCTAATCAATATGTCCAAGTCAAATGCTTTCTATTCATTTCTTTTCACTTTGTTTGCCAGCATATCTGGAAATAGTGTATTAAAAAAACAAAAAGGTTTCTTGCTGTTCCAGAGGAGTAGATTTATTTATCTTTTGCAGTCTCCTTTCGCCCTCCTGTTCTGATCACATGACAAAATTAACCTGTGGGTTTGCCTGGCAGGGTAAGAGCTCTGACTTCACTGGCTTTGATCCTCGTGGCCTCCTTCCTAAAAATCTGGACTACTGGACCTACCCTGGCTCGCTGACCACCCCTCCTCTTCTGGAATGTGTGACCTGGATTGTGCTCAAGGAACCCATTAGTGTCAGCAGTGAGCAGGTCAGTTTTCTACAGAAAGGTCTGCTTGGAGACATTGAGTGTTTAGTGGAGGTGAAAGAGTTTGGCCTTTGGAATCAGTCCTCGTATTTGATCCTYCTGCTGCTTCTAGCCATGCAACTAGTATCTGCAGCACTACTCAGCAAGTAATCGCATTCAGCAAATATTTGTTGTTATTAGCCATGGCCCCAGGCACAGTTGGTTTAGTTTGTAAAATTGGAGGTTCATTGTGAGGATTAAATGAGAAAAGTATCTTTCACTATTGCATGTGGGTTTTTTTTTTTTTTTTGATCAGCTATGAGGAAATAATGACTCAAAAAAAAAAAAAAAAGAAATGAGATTCAAGGTTACACAGATAGCAGTGAAAATTCCCAACCCACTGCTCACTCACATAGAAGTTTATGCAGTTTCATTTATATAAGAATGGATTTCTGAATCCCAAGGAAGGTGAAAGTCGTGCTTTGGAGAAAAAGTATCTATCAGAATTCAGGGGGTTTGTTGCAGAGACTCAGAACAGACACTCTTACATTACCTGTACAGTGTAGATGGTCATGTTCAAGAACTAATGCAGCTTCTCAGGGATGAGCATCCACAGAAGTGGACACAAAAGGATTTTTCCTGGGCTGTCACATAGCACACAGATAAAATGTGGAAAATGGACATTTCTTAGGATTCACAAGAGGTTGCATCATGAATAATTTAAGGAGAGAGTCAGCAATGGGCATCTTTGCAAATGACAAGTGTTTGAATAGTTGTATGATTTAAGCCTACAAAATTTTGGAATCGTAGAAATTTAGATATGCAGTGTGCAAGAGAGGTTGTGTTTGTCTGACTTTCTCATTTTGCTGTCTAGGTTGTGTTGAAAAACAGAGGTTCAGGAAAATTGAAGTGCTTTCCACCCACCTAGCTTGTGATTAAATCAGGTCTGGGAGCAAGGACGCTCTATTCTTGTGTTCTCCTTTAGAATATTAACTTATGAATACTAAAGATATTTTTTAGATTTCTTTAGAGGAAATCTATATCTAACTGGAAGCTTACTTTGTAGTATAWCAAAATGGGCCAAAAAAATAATATGCTTGACTTGAAAATTGGCCTTGTTGTCATACATTTGAGCAACCCTACTGAAGTAGTAGCAAAAGCAAAGATTATAATGCCACATCTTATTTGAAGATGTAGTGCTTGGGTTATGGTTTATTATTATTATTATTATTTATTATTATTATTATTATTATTATTTTGGTACTGGAAATTGAACTCAGGGGCATTAAGCCACTGAGTACATCCCCAGCCCTTTTTTTTTGTTTTTATTTGGAGACGGGTCTCACTAAGTTACTTAGAGCCTTGTTAAATTGCCGAGGCTGGCTTTGAACTTGTGATCCTCCTGCCTCAGCCTCCCAAGAAGCTGCTGGGATTACAGGTGTGTACCACCRTGCCTAGCCTGGGTTATGATTTAAAAACATGAAAATTCTTTTTTTTTCCTTCACTGAGAACAATTAAGCTTAAGATCCAAAGTCTGCCATTGATAGCTATTATGACAAATGGATTTATTATGTACACACACACCCATACACAAAAGTATCCAGAGAGATAAAAGCTATTGAACTGACTCCATTAGTCCTTGTGCTCTGAATTGCCTTTTAAGGTAGAAAGTGATATTAAACTAGAAACATTGCATATATTAGCACAATAACAATAGTAGGGATATTCTTCATATCATATAACACAGAAGGGTCATRTTCAGATTAAGTAAGCCAGAATTCTGGTTCTTTCTTTTTGTGATTCTCTTTATTTACCTTGATCATTAGTAACTTGGTAGATGCAAAAGCACTTTGAACATCATATCTCCAGGTACAGTCACCTCAAGGAGGAAAGAAAAAACTCTTCTGTTAGTTCCCTAGGAACAGGGAAGCCYTTCTTCAAAAGCCTTCACAGCCTAGCAAAACTTTCACATCCCACTTCTAACCCAGTCCTCAGGAAGGGAATATGATTGCCATGGTCAGTTTAGTGGCTTAAAGGGATCTGACAGATATCTATCAATGGTCAAGTGTGGGGGAACTGAATGTTAGGTATGGAATATAAAAGGGCCTGCTACATTCTGCTGCATTGATTGGCTTTACTCAGGCTTTGTCTCTCTGCTGCTAAAATAATGAGTCAAATTGATCAATGTGAGAATATAATTTAAGTGGTAGAAAGGAAATATTCATCACTTACACTGGATTGATAAAAATTTTTGACTTAATTGTACTTTATAAGCAGACTCTAACTCTTTATTTATTTATTGGTATTTGGGATTGAACCCAGGGATGCTTAACCACAGAGCCATATCCCAGCCCTTTTTATATTGTATTTAGAAACAGGGTTTCACTGAATGGCTTAAGGCCTCCTTAAATGGCTGAGGCTGGCTTTGAACTCATGATCCTCTTAGCCTCCTGGGCCACTGGATTACAGGAGTGTGCCCCCACACCTGGTGACTAACTCTTTCATATTGCTAGAATTCTGTTGTGGTCAAAAAACCCTAGATGCCTTTAAGAGAGAGTTTCCTTGCATTGCAGTACCTGTAAGGTAGTCAGATACCTTACAGGTAATGGCCTATATCAGTGTTGACTTCATGGGGATGATTGGAGATATATTACTGCGCAGAGATCAAGTTAAAGTCTACTGGTTCATGTGCTTCTGCATTGGCCAAACCATCTTTCTTCATTTAGGGGAAGGGGGACTCCACTTTTCAAACAACCTCAAAGAAGGTGGGATATTTTCTGACTGTTGCCTGTGTCACAGCATTGAGCCAGGACATTGAAACAGATGTAAAAGGGAATAAAAATCAACCATGACAAGGGCTTGAAATCCCAGCATGGGAAAATACATTTTTGTGTTTCTATATATTTAAGCAGAATGCCAGCTTATCTGTCACTCAGCCCATAGAGTTTTCAGATCCTGGGCCTTTTATCTAATTGTACAGATGTTGTACTTTTTCTTCCCTGGGGCAAAAAGCAAAATTTTAATTTGGATTGAGAACTGGTATTTGGTACATAATAAAGGCATGGATTTATAGACTTTGCTGTTTGATTTAAAATGAGAATAAGAAAGCAAGTTTAGATKCTGGGTATTTTTATGAATGGATTTGTTACATGAAAGCATACATGCACAGTCCACGTGTGATTATGTATCTATTGAGTTTGGCTATTGATAGAAGGTACTTGAAATGTTGGGGAATGTATGTCAACACTTAACACAAGCACATACGTAAATAATATTGTGAAACTTTAAAAACTTTTTGCTATGTCTTTTAGATGTCAAAATTCCGTCAACTTAACTTCAACTTCGAGGGTGAACCTGAAGAGCTGATGGTGGACAACTGGCGACCAGCCCAGCCACTAAAGAACAGACAAATCAAAGCTTCCTTTAAATAAGATGGTCCCAGACCTGGTACACAAACAGTCAATCTTCAGATGTTTCCCTTTAGCTAAGCACAAATCTACCTTCGTGATATGGACCCTGGCTGCTTTGTGTCTGGTTTTCTGGACCCTTCATCTCTCACTTGACATGCTTACTGGATAAATGTGAAGAATTAGACCAAGTGTCACCCTTGGCAGAAGTGTTGTGGTGGGGTGCTTCTCTACTTAAGGTATCATCTTTCTATAACAGGAATTTAATATAAGGGATAGGAGTGAATGAAGCACCTTGACTTTGTTCACAGCACAGAGGGTGATGAGCACTCAACTCACAACTGTTTGTTGAAATGCTATTTTTAAAACATAGAAAAGTGGGATGATTGAGTGCAAAGCYATACAGAGACCAATGAAAGCAAATCAGGTAAAATAGTCACAATTTTATGTAATATAAATCAGATAAAATACATGTTCATGATTCTAAGATGTTAAAGGAAAAACTTTTAAAATTCTTATATATTTGTAGCAAAGTTATCTTCAACATGAATTATGTTGTAATTTAGTGATTTTTGAATTCTAGAGATGTAAAAGAAGTACGATCTATAAAAAATGTTATAGTTGTGGTACAGAGTATATTTCCATTCAAATGACATATTATAAATTAACAAATATTGTATTTTAGATATATTCTGTAATAAAATTCAGAATTCTGTTTGAGTTATTATTTTTGCACATATGGCAGTGGGCAATTATGGAGGAACAGATGTCTAGTTTCACAATCCATATCAATTCATTGTTAATAATGAGCCATCATAATTGGTGTACTCCTAATTGAAGGAGTCCCCTTTAAGAAAAACCCCGGAGGTCATTTACTATTTGCCAACCACTTACTCATCTAATCCTCATGACAATCCTGTGAGGGTGAATCCTGCAAGGGAAGGAGAACTGATGATATGAAATGTAGCAAGGTAGAGCAGGGAAGGAAGGGTGTACACACAGAATCCCTGTGAGCTCCTGGGGAATAAAAAAAAAAAAAGTCTATTTTTATTTAAAAAAGGGAATCCAAGTGAAATCTGGAATGAAAAAAAAAAGATAAATTTTTATCAGAGAGGAAGAAGGTGAATGAATGAAATAAAAATCTTTCACTCTTATACCTCTACGGGGTTTAGCTCTGGGTCTTTGACCCTGGAATGCTTGGTTAATGAGTGATTCTAGACTGTCATGTTTAACACACAGCTCAGGTTCTACACTTCAGGAGATAAAAAACCCTTACTTTAAAAATTTTCTGAACTAATTTATACTCTCATCTACTCTCCTAAAGCTTGAGTACTGAATTTTATATAGGGGCTTGGTGATTCGCTTTGAATCCCAGCTCTTCTTAACCTCTCTTGGTCCTGGATATAAAGAGAGAATGATACCCAGGGTGGAAACGCTGTACTCCCTAAGCTCATCTCATTTTCTTGGACCACACTCATCTCCCATCCTGCACTTGGTGGCAGGGTGATAGGAAACTAAACTGTCAGTAAAGGGCATCATCTCAAGTTARTCTGGCTCAGGCTATTTTTTATATAATAGAGATTGAACCCAGGGGTACTTAACCACTGAGCCACATCCCTAGCCCCTTTTTATATTTTATTTAGAGACAGGATCTYGCTGAGTTGCTGAGGCTGGCCTTGAACTTGCAATCCTCCTGCCTTAGCCTTCCACGCTCCTGGGATTACAGGCGAGCACCACCGTGCCTGGCAAGATTTCTTGTACTTTCACACAAGCCCAGATGGATGATGTCTGGGTCACTGGGGAAAGCTCCCTGATTCTGCAAGGTGTCCCCAGATCCTGGCCATACTCCGCCATCCAGTAGTTGGTTTAGGCTGGCCCAAGCCCCACTCTGCATCTGCTGATGTGGGGCTTATTTCCTCTGATCTCCTAGTAGAAGAACACTTATCACTGCCGATACCACTAGCTGCAAAGTCCTGTACCCGGCTATTCAAGAACTTGAGGAAGGGCCCAGGTGGGTGGAAACAGAAGGAAGGGTCACACAAGACAGCCTTCCTCTTCTGAGTGAGGTAGCAGTGTCCTTGCTTCACCTCAGCACTCATTTGAGAAAGAATGGTGGGCAGGGGGAGGACACTGGTAATTGATATTGTCACTTCCTCTCCCCTCTTCCTCTGTGCACTAGGTCAGGAAAGGTTGGCTGTCCTTTTTTCCATRTGACTATGGCTTTTCTTATACTTTCTTTCTAAAAGCAACATCACTTGGATCCTTTCCTAAGACCATAATAACAGACAAAATACACAGAAAGAAAGTTGGCTTCATAGTTTATCAAAAAATATTTTAAAATTAGTATCCATTACAACTATGGATACACTGCTACCAGACTTTAGATTTCTTCAGCCTGCTTGGTAAAATCTCGAAGAAATTTGTGTTTCTCTCGTTTCTCTCTCCATCTTCTCTGCCCCAGATTCTTACCTTCCTTATAAGTGATGAATAGTGCTTCAGTGTTTATGGAAAGATAGTGCTATATTTTGGAACTAGAATGTTCTAAAAGTCCATGTGTTTAAAAGCTTGTTCCCAATGGGGTGCTGTAAGGAGGTAGTGGAAACTAAGAAATGGGGTCTAGCAAAAGGTCTTAGGTAATTGGGGGTGTGCCCTCAAGGGGATTATGGGACTTGGTCTCTTCCACTTTCTTTTGGCTTTCCAGCAGCCATGAGGTAGTAGCAGTTTCCATGTTGCCCAATCCCGCCATTATGTACTGCCTTACCATAGGTCAAAAAGCAGTGGGGACAACTGGCTGTGGACTAAAAYCTCTAATACTGTGAGCCAAATCAACCTTTTCTCTTTTTAAGTTGATTGTCTCAGATATTTTGTTACAGTAACTCAAGGCTGCTAATGCAGGTAGCATCATTAATTTTCATCTAGTCTGTTTAACAGTTTGTTTTATGGAATATAACAAAAGAGAACTCTGAATTTTAAGGTTCATGTTCCACAATAGAAAATCACATAATTTCCTTTACATGTTTGAAACCCTCAGGGCAGAGAAACCCAGCATGTTGGCTTGAAGTTGCATCCAGCCTCAGATGGAATTACATTCTCTAGAGCAGCATAATACTCCACCATTAAGCACTTGTCTTATAATGCAGAGGAGCCTGGATCAAGCATTAGAAACCAAAGGGGGACCTCAACCAATAGGGATCTGAGATTTCACTTAGAAAGACTGAATTCTGAGGAGTCCAAGGGACTTTGTATACTTTTAATCACTGAGTGAGATCTGAAGATTTCCTCCACACACCTTTGATCTTTGGAAGAAAGTTTACCCCTGATATTATTAGAGAAAGTATGGTTCCTGGTCCTATATATCAGAAGAATGAATCTGTCTTGTTTGGTAGAGGCATAAAGCATCCTCCCAGAACAGATCTGTTTAACCTCTGTTACTAGTCTTTTATTTTCCCCCTTCCTTTATAAACCTGAGTTCCTACTTCTTAGAAGCTCCCAGAACTGCATGCGTTGTGGTCTGAGGTCTGTCCTCAGAAAGTTCTGGCAGGAAGAATGATGCCTTTCAGTCCTGAGACCTGTGTATAGAACACGTGTAGAATTTCAAAGCAATTTTATACACACACACACACACACACACACACACACACACGCACGCACACCATGGTGGCAGTGTATATTTTTTCATATGTAAGATGTTTTATCCAGCCTATGGCTCTTTGGCTCCTTCAGGAGCCAGTATTGAAGTAGAATTTAGTATTATAACTACTCCATGTCACCTCCTAGCTGTATACCCTCAAACAGAAGAAAACTCAGGTATTGCTGAACAATTTAGGCTAAAGTTATCATAGAACAGAAATGTGCTTTTACATCATACATGTGCAGCATTGCATTTCCCAAATCCCATTCACCAATGGTCACGTTTCCCCTCAGGGACTCTGAATCTGCCCTTGCTGCAGCCCCTTGCCTTTGATGCCTCCCTTGGGCCTCAGTTTCTTCTCCAATTGTAACAGAGCCATTTAGTTCCACCTTCACAGTCTTCTTCATTCCAAAACATACATATACACTCACACATACACTGAGACTCATGCAGGCATGAGCATAGCCACACATGTGCACACACATGTATCTGCCAGTTGATAGTGTACTATGCTAAGTATGCTAAAGATTAGCAAAGGAAAGTTCCTTCAGTTTCTACTCTCCATAAAGGTGGTAAGAGATTACAAATATTTATTTTTCTTGCCACTAATTATTTTTAATTCATGCATGTATTATTTCTCATATAAATATATTCAACACAAAACAGCAAAAGTATTCAAATTGTACAAACGAAGACTTGGGCATTCAAAAAGGCTAGGCTACAGGTCCAACAAACGAGCAAATGTAGCAAAAAAAACCCACTGCACACCCAAGCTTAAATGCTATCTCCACTGTACCTGATGTAGGGTGACACATGAGGGCCCAGGCCCTGTTCTCTAATGTATCAGATTCTCATCCCCAKTCCTTCTCTTTCTCAAAACTGGTGGTTTTGGTGGAGCCAAGTGGCCAACTGAGGGCAATTTGAGAATGTGGAGTAGGCTGGGCTTCACCTAGCACAGGGTCTGACTCAGAGCAAAAAGATTCAACTAGTCCCTCAATAAATACTGTTGAATGAATAGGTAAGTGTTTTTCTTTAAGTCAATGTAATGAAAAAGGATTGTGGGTATTCGTGATGGTTGTACAACAATGCTATATCCCAAGCCTTTTTTATTTTTTGAGACAGGGTTTGACTAAGTTACTTAGGGCTTCACTAAGTTAGATCCTCTTGTCTCAGCCTCCTAGGTCTCTGGGATTACAGGCCTGYGCCACGATGGCTCAGCAGTAAAACTCATAATATTATACCTGCTCATGGCAAGTGCTCTATAAATGTTATCCTGAAGTTACTAAAAATAATTGATTGAATCAACGACATAGAAATTTATTTCTTGAAGAAGGAATTAGATTTTCTGCCAGCCTCCGGAAGATGCAAAACCAACTATGTAGCTGCCTTTATTTCAGAACAAACTTTGGTTATGTGGCAACCCTACCAGAATGCCTGATTACTCTGGGTACAACTCAAGATAACACCCGCAGTGACATCTCCCAAAGTGCACACCATCCAACAGATAAATGGTCCATTAACTCTGGAATAACGATCCCTGAAATGAGTTTGTTAAGACACAAATGTCTCATGCCTTTCTTAGTGTAGAGAAGGAGCTTTTAGGAACATCAGGCTCCACTATTTATTTTTCAGATAATCTTACAGAGTTGAAGTTCTTTTCTAGATGCATTCTCAAGCATTTTCATACTTTGAATCATCGTGACTGTGAGCACAAAATGGTTGCTATAACCACAAATTTATAATCTGTGCTTTTTATGCCACTGACCTTGAAATAACTAATTTAATAT